CCTCAGCCTCCCAAAGGCGCGGGATTACAGGCTGAGCCACCGAGCCCGGCTTGAGCATAGATTCTTAACATGGCCTCCAAGGTCCAGTGTGGCCAGCCCCTGTGTTCTCTGCAGTCTGTACTCCAGCTTGACTGACTTGCTTTCAATTCCTTAAAAGTACCTTGTTCCCATGACCCTAGGGTCTTTGCACATGATCTCTTCCCTGTTAAGACTTCTTTCCAAATCACCTACCTCTTCCATCAAATGATCTTCTTTCTATTCTTTTCTCCTTCAGCTTTCAGCCCAGTCCTCTTCCCCTCAGGGGAGCTTATCCTGACCTCCTTGGCCAGGTCACTACCTCCTATAACATGCTTGTATAGAATCACTCTCCCTTGTACTAATCACCTTTGTAAATACACATTTTTTTTTTTTGGTTGATTCATTGATTAATGCTTGTCTCTCCCATGAATTAGTAAGCTCCAGGAAGACAGAGCTATATCCAGTCTTGCAAATCCTTTTATCATCAGAATTCAACGTTGTGCTTTGCATATCCTAGGCACTCAAAAGTCTGTTGAATAAATAAATGAGTAAAAGAAGAAGGAAAGGAAGGAAGAAAGGAAAGATGATTCATGATAACTTAATTAGTATTTGTTGAACTAATGTGTGCATGGTTTTCCAACATACAGGGTATAACGTCTACACTCCTTTGAACAACATGCAATACCCCTTGCGATCTGATCCCAGTCAGTTGGGTTTTTCCTCCAGCTGCACTCGCCCCTCAGCATCTCTGAGTTCCCAGAGTTCTCCGACTGACTCTTCCTCACTTCTGCTCATCTCCACACCCTTGTCTCTTCTATTCCTACCAGACATTGTCTTTTAGAACTTATTCAATCTCCAAGTCTCAAGGATAGAGCTGTTTCCGTAAATACCTTCCTGATGCCTTCTGGGAAGCTGGGGGCTTTTTTTCTACCACCTTGTCCTATCCCTATTTTAAAAATTATCATTTTTTTACTTGTTTCTTAAGCAAGTTCATTTCTCCTACTACAGCCTAAGTCCCTTGAAAGCAAGAAAGAGATATCCCCTCACGATAGTATTCCCAGAGTTCAGCACAGCAGCCTGACATATAAATTGTCAATATATACATATTTGTTGAGTGAACAAAAAAGAACATATATGCACACACACACATGTATCTATCATGTGGACACAAAAACATATTTCATATCTGCAAAGCTTCAGAGTTGAGCATTTAATATATACTGTTAATAGAGTATATTATTATTAAATGTTGTAAGGTATAATGATCATACGTTCATCTGTAAAATATGCTATGAGAATGAAACAAGATATGTAAGTAAACTGTTTAGCACAAAGCTCATATACTGGAAGCACTCTATAGATATTCATTGTAGAGTCATTACCTCTACTATTATTACTGTTAGGGCAACCAAGTTAAATTTACAACTCATGGTTGAAACTTAACAGTCTTATTTGCCAACATTTTTCCTATTAAAACATTAATTAGCATTAGCATCTCTGTAAGGACATAAAAATTGCCAGAGAGGCACTCTGAAAATTAAGGATAAAGGGGAGTCTTAGTCACTGCAGCTGAAGGACAAACGATTGTTTTGGTAATCTGTAATATACCTGTAAGTGTGGAAAGACAAAAGCATTGACAGAAAAGCATTTCTGTACAAAAATTGTCAATAGAATCCAAATGACAGAAATAACAAATATTGTCATTCAAGTGCTATTAACATTTAGCTGAAATAATTACAAATACTTACTGTAAATGATTTCTTTTACTTAAGAAAAAGCTAGAGTTACATATCCATCCATTTATTTTAATTACTGGACAGAGTAATGAATGTGACTTTACAAATAAATACTAAGGATTTGACTAATGAATATGCCATAAAAGGTTTGAATAACAGCAAACGTGTCACATGTGGTCTATTAGATGTTATTCTGATTTAGCATTGTTGAAATTAAGGAAATAGATTAGGCAAACAGACTCAAAGAGGCAAGACTATTTTGCAACTGTATTTTTTAACAAATGTTAGGTACTATTGTTTACAAATGCTACCAGTACACGGTTGAGGAGAATGAACTGGAAATCATTTATTCTACAAAGCAAACGTATAGTTCTGCCTTATATTGCTCTTTCTCTTGCATGTTGACAAAATTTAAATAACATAAAGTGTCTTATATAACATGTGCTACTGAAATGTAAGGCACTAGCATTATTACATTCTGAGATTTCTATTCTCAACCAAACTTTATCTCTGATAATGCAGAAAGTAAATTAGATATGATTGGGTCTCAAACCTTTTCTCAGGGGTACTAGAGCTATAAGAGAAACTATTATAAAAACACTGAAGTGTATAACTTATCATTGTTTTACCATGAGCATATTACATGCCTTTTAAATTGAATTATAATTCTATTCACTGGCCGCAACTACTGACCAATTTAACATAACATAAATATACCAATCTTTGTAGCATAATTAAAAGAAAATAGAAAAGTGGAATAGACCAAGGTAGCCAACAAGTCTTTTTTGTTTTGGTTTTTTATTTTGTATTTTATTTTAAAGATATGGGGTATAATTCAGGATTCGGTATACAAGTGATCATCGTACAGGCAAAATTTGGGCCTCATTTTTTATTTGAATTCACTATAATTTCAGGGTCATGATGCTTATGTTTGTGTCAAATAATCTGGTAAAATCTTAGTAATGTAAGGCAAAATTCATCTTTCATTATGCTGATCCATCAAAAGGGAATGTCCTCATTCATTCAAGTGTCACTCTTCCTTTAAGAGTTACTACTTTTGTGGTACGTTCCCACATATATTGTATATTTCCTGCCATGTAATGATCTGT